AAAGTGTTCTCCGGAGCTGTCGTCTATCATTTCAAAACCATTCAACAAGTACTTATCAGAGTCTTTCCAGCCTGCTGGAAAGCAGCATCTGTTATCCCTATTTTTAAAAATTCTGGAGAGCAATCTGATTCGTCTAACTACCGTCCCATTAGTCTTCTTCCTATCAGAAGCAAGGTTTTTGAATCTTTAATTAACAAACACCTAATCTCTCATCTTGAATCTAATAACTTACTTTCTGATCATCGATATGGATTTCGATCTTCTCGTTCTACAGCTGATTTGCTAACAGTAATAACCGATAGGTTTTATTGCGAATTAGATAAAGGTGGAGAGGTTAAGGCCATCACTCTTGACATTTCTAAAGCATTTGATAAAGTTTGGCATGCTGGTCTTCTCTATAAACTTTCTTCTTATGGTGTATCTGGAAACATTTAAAAAAAATTTTTTTTTTTAATTTTAATTCACCTCCTTAAGGCCGAGAAGGCCACTACAGATGAGGAAGCTACTTATTTGTGGCTAAAACCCTCTCTCAACTCTATAACTCCGAAACACGAACCTTGACGAACAAGGCCGCTGCGCGGAGAAACGAGTTGAGCGCGGTACTACCAGGGACTGGTGGGGATCAAACTCGGAACCACTAGTTTATGAAGCGAGCGCTCTACCACTACACCATTACCGCATTACATCTTTAAGATTATTGAGTACTTCCTTTCCAATCGTAGTATTAAAGTTGTCCTTGATGGACAGCATTCTTCTTATTGTTCTGTAACTCAAGAGTTCCTCAAGGTTTAATCCTTGGCCCTATACTCTTTTTAATTTACATATTCACATCTAAGGTGGCATTGCTCACTGATGATACTACCATTTATTCTTGTCACGATAAGAAACCAACTCTCTCTGATTACTTGGAGGGAGCAATTGAACTTGAAAAGGATCTCACTTCTGCTACAGCATGGGGCTCACAGTGGCTGGTGAACTTTAATTCAGATAAAACTCAAATTTTTTCAGCCAATCATTATCGCAATAATTTAGACCTATATTTATGAACAGTAATGTACTCGATGAGTCATCTACCTCTCATATTCTAGGATTAACTCTTACTTCTGATCTTTCTTGGAAACCTTATATCAAATCTGTTGCAAAATTAGCATCTACTAAAGTTGCATCTCTTTATCAAGCTCGACACTTTCTAACTCTGGATTCTATTCTCTATCTCTATTAATCTCAAATCTGTCCTTGTATTGAATATTGTTGCCATATCTGGGGCAGATCTTCTAATGATGCCCTTTCTCTTTTAGACAAGGTGCAAAAATGCATTGTAAACATAGTTGGACCTGCTCTTGCAGCCAACCTTCAACTTTTGCCACATCGTCGTAATGTTGCTTCTCTTTCTCTCTTCTACAAATACTATAATGGGCACTGCTCTAAAGAACTAGCGTCTCTTGTGCCATCTACTAAAATTCTTTCTCGTGTTACTTGTCATTCAACTAAGTCTCATCCTTTTTCTGTTACTGTTCCTAAGTACTGCAAAAACTCTTATTTATCTAGTTTTTTCCCTCAAACATCAACATCAACATCAGTTCTTTAGAATTCGCTTCCTTTATCTTGCTTTCCTGATTCATATAATTTGCAATCTTTTAAGTCGTCTGTCAATCGTTATCTTGCTCTAAAGTTTTCATCTTTTCTCTTCCAGTAACTTCCAACACTAATTAGTGGTTGCTTGCAGCCTTGTTGGAAGCGAAGATGTTTAAAAAAAAAAAAGTTTTATTTTGTATGCTCTTTCAAAATCTCTTGGTATATCTTTTTTAAATGTTTAAATGTTGGCAATTCTCTTTTTAAATGTTTTACTTCGTAATATTGAAGGATCATTTTGGGTTAATTGGAATTCTAATTCTTTAGGCCTCTAACATGCATTAAGTGTTGATCGTTTAATTTCCGTACAAGCGAGAATAAAACAATTCGAGCGTAGTAGTTCTAAAAAAGAAAATTTTTTCCAAACTTCAAAAAGAGTTTTACATTCTTACTCCTCTAATCTGGTGAAAATAACTTCAAAATTTTTTGTATGTAACACATTTTGTAAGTTTGGATAATTCCTTGGTCCAGGGGTTGTATTAATGAAGTATAGTTAGGAGAAAAAATTCTCTAATGCTCTCTTTTCATTCATTGAAATGTAAGTCCGAAAAGAAAGTTTCTTCCAATATCTTACCAGCATTTAAATTCTGATCTGCTACATACCCTTCTTTATAGATAATTTCTGCAAGGTACTTTTTAAATTTTTTGGCTAATTTGACACCAGTTAAAGCCTGCTCTCCTTGAAATTTAATACTGTACAAAAAATACCTTTTTTTTTTTTAGCTTTTTAAGGCATCCTGCACTTTCAGTAGACGCATAATTGTGTTACTGAAGAGAACAGTTGTCAAATCCTTTAAAATGCTCATGAATTTTATACGCTTTTCGCTTAATAACATTTCCATACACAGGCATCTTTTTGACAACACAATTTTCCAACCACATCATTAATGCTTGTTCCATTTTTATATTAATAACGTTACATGCAAATTGTACGCTTCGCACCTGATGGGCAACTATTTACATTAGTTTTTCTCTTTTTTCCTTGTTTTTTCTATAAAGAATGAATTGTATTTCGTCTGTCCTTAAAGAAGGAATTGTTATTTCATTGAAATTAAACAATTTTGCAACAGAAAATATTTTCTCTTGATTTTTTAATCGATTTAAAATTGCAGTTGCCACTTCATGTCATTTCATGTATTTTTTACAAAAAAAATTAAAAAAAAAATTGTACAAGTGGGTGTGGGGGGGAGGGTGATCTTTATATTGCAACTAAAATGCCATATAAGGGGAGGGCTATAAAAACGTCAAAACATCATGCATTATTTGAACAGCTCCTTTGTGAATATAAAATTAATCTTAAAAATAAATTACCTGCTTGATTGTTGCTTTTTCCATTTACAAGACTCACACCATTAAGTTTTTTACACTTAATAAGTATTTCAAAATGACTATGAGGCATACTTGGTTTTAGAGCCATCTCGAATGCTGTTTTAATCATCTTAGAATACGCTTCGCGGGTGATTTGTTTATTATTTAAAGACTTTTAAATATCAGGATTTATGAGGCAATTATTTCCAGTTTCGCCAGTAGAGTTTTCATTATCAATTTGCACTGCTAATTTATGTCCTTTAGATTGCACTGCTAATTTATGTCCTTTAGATTGCACTGCTAATTTATGTCCTTTAAGATGATGATCAACCTTTATTACAAATCAGGAATTTAAGATCAAAATTTAAAACATGAAAGTAGCAAATCTATTATACTAGAAAAATAATGCCAAATATATAAAGAAAAACGTTTAAGTTACATCTGAAAAAATATTTAACCAAACCATTTTTTAAGTAAAAATTGTTTAAAGTATTTCCTGAAATCACACTTCAAATAAGCTACAAAATTCAATTTTACCTTATGTTTTGTTACTACAGTAGTTCCCTCTGTAAACGCATTTAAATCCTTTAACTGAACGATCTTTTAAAATAGCTGATTTGTTTCTCAAACAAACCTAACACCATATTTTTATTACTACTCCATTTTCTTCTATGTATCCTATTCTCCATTTTCTTTTATGTATTCTTTCCTCCATAAAAGAAAAGTTTTTAAGCTTTTATATATTGGTTTAATAACTTTAATTTTTTTTGGTTCAGATGACATTCTTAAAAACTCTATAACTTAAACTAATATCTCTTTTAAAAACTAATCTGAAATAAAAATTCAAAAACCCACGCATGAAATATTATTTTTGTAGGTACTGCGAAGGTGTTCTGCTTCCTTTTCATAGTTTATTTTTGCCATCACATGGCTGCAGGTTGGATTCTGATGACTTTAAATAACTGATTCAGCGGTCTAGCAGCCACTAGCAACAAAAATGAACAATTCAATTTTCATACTGCAGTGGAACAATTTAATTGTTTTTTGTTTTTTGTTTTTCTATTTTTACAAATAAAAAAGTTGAAAACTTTTTTTTTTAACTAGACTTAATTATTAAAAATTACAATTGTAAAAAGACTATGTTATTTTTTTATACAATTTTTTTTTTTGGCAACTTTTTTGAAAAAATAAAAGTTTATACAATTTTAAAATATATACACAACTTCTTAATAAATTTGATAAAATTTGTTCATTTATTAAACAATCATTAGTAGTAATTTGTTACTTGATTTAAAAACGTTTTGCATAACTTTAATAAAACGTTTAAACAGATTTATATAACATTTATTTTAAACGCAATTAAAAATGTAACAAAAAGTTTCGCTTTGAGTTCAAGTTTTTATTCTTTATTTTTATTTATAATTTCTTTTTCGTAAAGAATTTTTTTTCTTTGTTTCATGTTTCATTTGTTTTTTTTTATTTTTTTTTTTGTTAGTTATTTTTTTTAACTTTTTTCATAGTGTTTTTAACTTTAACCTTAACGTTTCTACATTCAGAGCAACTCTAAACTGTTTAAATCATCAAAACATATAAACAATCGTGGTCAAGTTGTCAAAAATAAAATAATTTTCGTGGTCAGCAATAACGCTCAATCGCATGCCATTCCTCTCCAAGCCTGATATATATATAGTTTAAGTGACATTTTTAATAATATATTTTATATTTAAATGATAAAAAAACATGATGTTCGGTAATATACTATTTTTATTATTTAAATAATAAAAATAATATATAACCAAACATGTTTTTTATCATTTAAATGTATATATATGTATATATATATATACATATATATATATATATACACACACACACACACACACACACAAAACACACACACATATCTATGGTACAGAATTAATTTGGTAAAATGTGAGATAAAAGTTTTTTTGTTTTAAGTTTAACTTTTGTAATCTAATAGATTACAAAAGTTTAACTTTTGTAATCTAATAGATTACAAAAGTTTAACTTTTGTAATCTATTAGAATTTTAAAACTTACTTTTTCATCAAAATGCAAGTCAGGTAAGACACTTCCGACATGAGCAGGCTTTTTCTTTTTCTTTTTTTTATTTGTATTATTAGTAGTATTAATAGAAGTTTGATCAGGAGCTTGAACAATCTCAGGAGCTTGGACAATCTCGCGCTAAAAAATAATACAACTGAACATGGAATGAAGTATAATGAATAAACAATAAACATATTAACTCTCAATAAATTAACAATCCATTGCTATTTTTTCATGTTTTTATGCATTTGTTTATAATGAAAACTATTCATTTATTACATTTACTGCTAATCAATTTATTTTCTGATAAAATTATGAAAATAGAATTTGTATGATCAAAATAAAAATAATAAAAACAACTGTCTAAATATAAGAGAATAAAATAAATTAAAGAGTGTCTACATTAAAAGATGTAGTGCAATTTAAGCAACATGGTAAAAGAAAGATAAAAAAACATTGATAAAAATAATTTATACTTCAAAGTAGTGTGGATCCACTTCTTCAGGACAATAACCTAAAAGAGAAAATACTTTGTTACAGTGTTGTACTTTATTATAAAAAACGATTTTGTAAACTTTTAAAATTCAAATTGGTTATGACAAAATACAGCAAAACATTAAGTTTGAAGTAAATGTTAAATCCCTTAGTTGACATATAAAAATCTATTGTTAAATCCTAAATGTTATTTGATTTATCACTTAATATTTTTTTTGTCTGTTTCAGTTGTCGTTTGTGTATTAATTACAGTCTATTAGCATATAAAGAAGAATTCAAATTGAAAAGTTTAATTGTTTTAATTGTTTTTGAAGAATTCAAATTGCAAAAACTTTTTCTGGTCTAAAGAATGAGTACAATTATGAGCAGAGCTTTGGAGCGACTCTGGAGCTTGAACCGGGGCTGGAGCTAAAATATTTCCAGCCGAAAATACGGAATGTTGCAGAATACACAAAATAAAATGCCGAAATGTTGCAAATGCTGAAATGTTGCAGAATACACAAAATACCAAAAGTGGCTCTAAAGTCAGCTTTGGTATTTTGTGTATTCTGCAACTCTCCTGCAATTCGGCCGAGTATTGCAAACTATTCAGCCGAATACTAAAACATGAAAAAAATCGAATTAGAAATAGATTATATTGCTGTATGTTACTATAATAATACAATAAACAGATTAATCAAATAATAAATATATCATATATATAAGAGTCTATTATTCACAAAATTTTTTATTTAAAACAAGTTTAAATAAAAAAATTTTGTGATTCTAAATTTATCAGTGGTAAATTATGATAAATGATACCATTTTTTTTGGCATTTGTTGATAGCAAACGATTCTGCTTTTCCTAGTAAATTATACCTGCTTCCAAAAATAGCCGCTCACTACATACACTACTACGTGGAGATTATAAATAAATCTTAGCAAATTAAGCTAGGCTTGAATATTGTTTTGCATTAGATGACCACCACTTGTCAGAGTCTGCTTTCTGATCTAGGTGAACAGTTTTCATAAATAAATCAATTTTGATTTCTGTTGAACTTTTCTGTTCGACATCTTGATTTGTGTGCGTGTTTTCTGTAGCGACCTCCTCAAAACAATTCCAGAAACTATTGTGTATTTCAATTGTTTTATCATTTTCAATGACATTTTTTTTCTTCCTAAGTCAAGAGAAGTCATCATCGGTGCTACTAAACGTTTCAAAACTTTTTTTCAGAGCTTCAAAATAGATTTTGTTTTGTTCTTTGTGTTTTTACTATACTCAAAAAACTAGTTTTGAAACGCGGGTCAAGAAAAGTTGCAATCAGATATTTGTCAGTTGCATAAGTTGGACCACGCTTTAAGTTCAGATTGAAGCAAAAATTTCACTGTTAAATTGGGTGTTTTCTGTTCTGTTTCTTCCTTTCTCAGGTATTTAAATGTGACAACATGTAGAATTACCTCAGAAATGCAAGAAATACCCAAGCTAGTTATTTTTGTAATTTCTTCAAACGGTTTGAGAAGTTTGATACATTGTTCCATTAAAACCCATTGAGCAGGTGTTAATTTGTTTAAAGAATCATGATCAGCCATAGACAATGAGACAGCTCTCTTTTGCTCTAATAATCACTCCAATAAATAGTATGTTGAATTCAAGCCTGTGCTTACGTCTTGTATTAATTGGTGGTCTAACAGTTTAAGTTCTTGACGAATGAGTTTAAGTTTTTCTTGTGCTATACTAGAGTGGTAAAAATGGGTGAGGACATGTCAGATGTCACTGCTGTTACTTGTGAAATACTAGCTTCAATTTTAGTGCAAATTGTATTAAATATAATGGGGATAATTTTCTCAGTCATGTAGGAGCGACAAGGTATTTTGTATTGCGGTACTACCTTTTCCATAAGCTTATTGAAGCCAACTCGTTCAACAAGTGGTAATGGTTCTTTGTCTAAGGTAATCATTTCTCCAATTAAATAATGATATTTTTTTGATTTTGGATCATTAATATCCCAACACAATTTCATTTCAGCTGTCTCTTTAAGAGTTAACTGTTTCTTTTTTAACATACTTGTTACTGCTGGTATATTAGAATTGGTATAACTAAGTGAATCGTCACTTTTGTTTCCTCTTGTCAGAGTTTCAGTTAACTTAGCGTGCTGCTGCTTGTTTTGAAAGTGATTTTTCAGAGAAGTTGAAATTTCAGAGAGAAAAACAGAGAGAGCTGAAAACAAAAGAGTAGTTAAACTTAACTTAGAGTAAACCTACTGTGCAAAATAAAAAAGGAATAAAAGAATTACTAGCGTAAATAACTTGTTTTATTAAAACATATTTAATAAGTTATAATATACCTAATAATTTTACTTGCTTTCCTTCCTTCTCCACCAGGCAAGATCTTTTATTAAAATATGCCATTTTTAAAGCTTTTTGCAAATAAAAGTTGAAATAACTCAGCTTTTGTTACTTATTGTAGTTTTTCGCAAACATAACAACAATCGCATATAAAGTTTTTTATGTTTACTAAATTGAGTTTTTGATTTAAATAGTTTTTAAAGGATAATTAATCGTTAATGTATTTATACAGTTTTTAATAAAAATATTTGAGGTTGGTAAATTAAAATAAATTATCGAATATATGTAAATAAATGAATTGCATCTAGTATATTCAATTCATTTATTTACAAATTCTAGTGACATTTTATATTATAAATACATTAACTACTAATATAAACTGCAAACAACGTAATTACCTCTAAATGCTCTGAAGCTTTAGCAAACAACGTAATTACCACTAAATGCTCTTACAGAATTTATAGAAAAAAACTATAGAATTACACTTTTTGTGTATGTATCTTATGTAATGGGTTGTAAGTAATACAATTTATAAGATACAAAGTAAGAAATTGTCAACAAATAACATGCCCAAACACGCAAATAAAAAAAATTGTTTTATAAAAAAAAAAATAGTTTTAAAAAGCAATTAAATGATTTTAAAAATTTTAATTTAGTTTTGAAAAAATGTAAAGTAGTAAAATGATGAATGTAAAATTTAGTTCTCTTTAAATTTAAGTCTCTCCATCATAGATTGTCATAGATTATAATATGCGAAAGCAAATTTAAAACTTTTTTTTAAAAAGGGAGAAGTGCTTTTGTTTAAGAGAATTCTTTTCACAAATGTATTTAAAATTTTTTGCTTCTTATTATTTATTACCATCTTAAGTTTTTTTGACATAATACATTTGTGAACATAAAATACATTTATAAATATCTTATATCTAACTGATACAATCTATTTATAAATTGTTTCTAATCTTCTTTAACAATATAAATATATATATATATATATATATATATATATATATATATATAAATTATATACACAATATATTTGTGATAATATAAGTTTTTTTGACGTAATATATTTGTGAATATAAATAGATTTATAAATGTCTTATATCTAACTGATAAAATCTATTTATAAATTGTTTATAATCTTCTTTAACAATATATATTTAATATACGTAATATATTATAATATATTAAATACATATAAGAAATAATATATAGAAAAACTTAAGTTTTTTGTTTTTCTTATTTTTACATGAAATTTTGCAATGATAGTTATTGAATTGGATGATAACTGAAAATAAATTTTGGTTTTCATTTAATATATATTATTTCTAATTTAAAGCCAAAAATGTTATTTTTAATTGAATTACTTTCGTTTAATTTTATATTATTCCTTTTTATTGATTCCGGGCTTATTTATAAATAGCATTTTGATATTATTCTATAATAAAGGATTTCAATATTATATCATTTCGATACAATCGCTCTTTTTCAATTTCAAGCTTGTTCCTTTTTGCGATTTCAATACTGTTACTACTACCCATAAGTTTAAAGAAATAAATTATAAAAAAATCTTTTTCAAATACTGAATTTTATAAACTGAATTTAGATTCTATTTTTATAATTTTTATGAAATTATTTTAAACAATTTTTAATGCAGTTTAATACAAAATTTAATTACAACGTGATACTATGAGTTTTAAAATTACATTTTCTTTTATTTCAAAATGCTATTGTATCATTTTTTTTAACCTTATAGCCGCATTTTGAATCATGTTAATGGGTAGTTGGATCATTAAAAATACTCTTTTGTATTTTTAATGATCCAACTGCCCATTAACATGATTCAAATTTTGTATCTTTTTTGTATTTCATTATTAAAATAATTTTTTTTAACTCCGTCAAACAAAATTAATAAAATTAAAAACATTGCACATGTAATTAATGATGCACGTGGAAAACCAAAAAAAAAAAAAAAGAAGTATGAAAGAAGTATAAAAAATATATAAGAATATATAATAAATAAAATAAATGAAAATATATAAGAAGTATAAGAAAAAATTAAGTAATGCAAAATTTTAAAAACATTAGAAACATAATATTTTAAACATTCAACTAAATTAAATTTAATTAAAGACGAAGAGAGAATAATAAAATATTTTTCTTTTTTTAAAGCATTTCTTTGCGGTTTTTGCTTTTAACTTTTTTGCTTCAAATTGTGAAACCTTTGTTAAGATTGACTAAAAGAAGGTAGTGGTGTAGTGGTAAATTAAGGCAATTAATAATGCAAGTGGAAACTCTTTTTTTCTAAAAAAAAAAAAAAAAAAATAATAATAATAATAAAAAATGTTCAAAATCATAATGTTTTAAACATACAACTAAATTAAATTTGATTGAAGATCAAGAGAGAATAATAGAATATTTTCTATATATATAAAAGGTTTCTTTGCAGTTTTGGCTTTCAACATTTTTGCTTTATGTGATAAAACCTTTGTTAAGGTTGATAAAAAACAAATGATGCGATACAAATCAAGCCTTCCCAGGAAAGGCGTGCGGTTTTTCGTCTCGTATGACCACACGCGATTATATTAAGCTTTATAATAATGCTAAAAAAGTTTAAAAAAAAAAAAACTAACAAAATAAAAAGAGGTTGAAATAGAAAAAAAATAAAAGCAAATCAATAATTTAAATAATTTG